CACATCATGTTATGGCTTAGCTGAAGTAGAAAACTTATCATTGGAAATGTGTGTGAGGTATATTACAAGAACAACGTTGTTATGTACTTTGAAGTTTAACCATTCTTGGGATAACCGATGATGTCATTTTTTCGTGTTCAAAAATCATAGTAAATACACACACACACACACTTACAAATAAAAAGCAAAAGCAAATTTTTTAAATTTGTTTCAAAATGTTATAAAAATTGAGAAAGACATGTTGCAAGATAGAAATAGAAACATGGTTTGCAAACAAATGGATAAGACTTAAATTTCATTAATTGAATGGTAGTTCGTAAATGGCGTGACTCCATGGATCATTACAAAATTTGGAAAAATGGCAAATAAGGGAAAAGTTACATAAAAAACAATGCCCACTATTCTCCCTAATAACTTTAAGTTCCACGATGCTCTCGAGCTTATGCTGACTTGACTAAGAAATCCCTGATGATAGAAGTTGCTTTCAAAAGTCCAGTATGATTTGATACAGTTACTAGCCATGATCCCTAACTTTTGCTTAGATTGCATTTTCAGGTTTTCAATCTACCGGGATGTTATTTTTTTATATTTTGTCTCTAATTTTTGCTTGGACCATCCTTTTGGGTTTTTAGTCCACTGAGACGCTCCTTTTTTCCTAGGTCGCCCTTTCGGTTTTTCAACTTAGCGAATTGCTCTTTTTATTTTAGGCATAGTATTTTTTGACTGCATCAATATTCACAGGACAAATGATCCAATTTCCATCCATAGTTGTGAGAATTAGTGCATCATTTGAGAAAGCTTTCTTTACAATGTATGAGCCATCATAGTTAGGAATCTATTTGCCCCTAGAGTTAGTGACGAAAAACTGGATTTTCTTGAGCACAAGGTCGCCTTATCTAAATGCACGAGGTCAAACCTTCTTACCAAAAGCCTTTTTCATCCTTTGTTGGTACAACTGACCATGGAATAAAGTCGTCATTCCCTTTTCTTTAATTAAGTTCATCTGGTCATATCTACTATGACACCATTCAACCTACACGAGCCCGATTTTGAAAATTTTTGTCCACTGATTTTACGCATAGAAAAATTATTTTGACTGATGATTTGGGCATTATGCGAGATTAAATGCATGTTATGCTATGCAAATGATGCAAATGTCATGATAACTGTATTGATTTGGTGATTCGGGATCAAAATTGGGGCATGACAATGTGCATCAAAGGGATCCATGTAAATTTGGTTGTACCTAGAGTACGCATCCTTGAACCTTAACATGCAGTATAGCCTGATGATCCGTCAATGAGGCAATCAATATATGGTAGTGTGTACAAATTTTGGGGCAGTCATAATTCAGATCGGTAAAATCCATACACATGTTCCACATATTGTTGGATTTCCATACCAGAATAATGTTAGCCAACTATGCTGGGGTATTTTGTTTTTGTAATGAATCCGACATCGAATAGTTTTCCCACCTCTTCATTAATGGCGTCCTTATTCCTTGCTTATGTTCTGCTTCCTCTATGCCATTTTCTTAACATAAGAATGAATGGCGAGGCGATAGTTCACCACTTTAGTGTCTATTCCTCGCATGTCAGAAGGAGCCTAAGCGAACATGTCGACATACTTAATGAGTTGGTCGAGTAGTTCTCGTTCCTCCCATGTGGATAACGAAATACCTATCTTCATAACTTGATGGGCGCGAGGACATATCTGGATCTTCTTTAAATCTTCAATGGAGTGAGCTTTCCACCTTTCGTGCCCAATTTTAGGTCCCAAACTCAAAGTCAGTATTTGGAATTTCTGATGGAGGGACACAAACAAAGGCAAACTCTCCTTTAGACGTCTCTATGCTACTTTAATAGCACTCTCGAGCCACTTATTGGTCTCCTCGGATTATAACAACTCTCCCATCAGGGAACAAGTATTTTAAGGTTAGGTACACAATTTCTCCCAAGGTGTTCATACTTAGTCGTCCTAAAATGATGTTATAAGGTGATAGGGTGTTCCCAATAAGGTATGTGACGTCAATCACCTCGACATCCGTTCCCTCGTCACACGTGGTTTTCAGGGTTACATGGCTCACTATCTGTATATGTTCACATGATAACCCCATCAAAGAGACATTGAACATTTTTATTTCATTAGGGTTGAGTTGCAGTTTCTATAAGACATCTGAAAATAAAACATCAACATAATTATTAGGGTCTATCAGAACACGTATGATGTCCTAGTTGTTCTGTTGCATAGTGATGATGAGATGATCATCAACGTAAGGGATAAGGCCAATGGTATCTTCCTCAAATAAGATGGTGTTAACCCTTGTTTTTCCTTGAGAGCTTCTGGAGAAGCCATGATATATTACGCTTGTTGCAAACACCCGCCTTATGCATTTCCTCTAAAAATATATAAAGTTACTTCCACCGATGAAACCTTTGGCAATGGTATTTGTGTTGTAGGTTATAATTTTGTCGATTATTTTCGTAGGGAAGATGAAAGGAGTTAGAGTAAAAGTGTGACCCAAGTTAATTTTTATCAAAGCTTTAAGATGTACGTCATTGTACTAGTAAAAAAGTACATGTGTGTGCCCCCCTGCAAGGGCATGCAGACTTAGAGACCTTAGTATGTTTATAATAACTATAAGTGATTATGGCTTGTTTGTGACGGTGATGATTTATGGTGGTTTTACTAGTCCTGCTCACGTAAGGTGAGAGATCCTATGAGTTATGCGCTATGGCTTTAAGGGGTGTAATGATCTGTATGACTTAAGATCGACCCCTTGTCTTCTATATAGGAGATGTATTTATATAAGAATTTAGGACTTAGAATTCTCTTTAGGAGGGCCACCGACCACTCAGTTAATTGTGATTATAACATACAATGCTTGTTTGCAAAAGAATTACTAACATAGGCAAAATAAGAAATTTGTATTAAGGAAATCATTACATTTACTATTGAATTCACGAGCACTAATGAAAATACATGAATTTTGCGAAGTATATATGCAGGTTGGGTTATTTCTCATATCAATGAGGTGTAATGAATAGAAATCATCTTTTTCTTTAATATTAAATTAAATTACAAATAAAAAAGTTAAACAATACCTAATATTTCTAGTCACACATTTAAAATAATAAAGTAAATACCAAAATTCTAAAGCATCGACGATACAACTAATATTTTAAATTATCAAAACTAAATAATAAATTATAAACTAATATAAACATGACGAGTTTAAAGTGGATGCTAGTGTTCCAATTACTCGACTCATCTCCATATTTTATAATTGAGAAATATCCAAATCCGAAACCAAACTCAATCAAAGTGAGTTTTCCCAATCAAACTCAGGGCGAATTCAGATAGGGTTCAGATTATGTTGTCACATCTAATAAAATAAATATGTTATTTAAATATTAGTTGCATTAGAGCATCTTTAATGGGAGTAAACTAAATGGGTAAACTAAAATACTTTTTGTGGGTCCAAAGTGATTTGTAGGATTTAAAAAATTTATAGTTGATTTGAGTAGTTTTTACTTTAATGGTGGTTGTCTATAAGAAACCAAAACTTGACCCCACATTTTATATTTTTTATTCAAGTTACCATTAATTTAATTATTTTAATTAAAATACATATAATTTTTTAAATAAAATTTACCTTAAAAACTTAAAAATAATATTAAATATATTTTATTATAAAATTAAAAATGATACAAAATTCACAACAATAATACATAAAAAAAATTACATTTTCATAGGAATATAATTATAATAAGGATTCGACTGGTTGGGATCAATTTGATAAATAAATAAGATTGGAAATTGAAAGAAAAAAATTTAGAAGTAAAACTGTGTGTAAAAAAAATTAAAATTTCTATAGAATTTATAGAAGGTAAAAAATGATAATATAACCGTTACTATTTTCAAATATCATATCCTTACTTTAATGTTGTTAGAATATTTGGAATATTTTATTAATATTAAATAATATTATAATAAGTTTCACATAGTTAACGATAACTATATATATATATATAATGAGAACTAAATTTTAGTTCATTTGGATGCTATGTCAGCTCTCCTATAATGCAAATTCCTTATTACTAACTTAAGCTATAAATAATTTTAGTTTAACAACCCTGCGTTAAAGTTGCTCTTACTTATTTATACATGTTAAAATAAAATATTTTCTCTCGTCATATTTTAAAAGTATTATACAGTTTAAATACAATAATTATTTGATAAATTTTAAAAGTAAATTTTCTCTTATAAATATGATCGGAGATAGTGAAGTTTTAACTAGGTTAATAGGTCAACAAGACCAAAATATCAAACCCATACTCAAACTTAAAAGTAAGTCTCTATAACAAATTTAAATCTTAAGGGTAATGCTAACTTGAGTCATTGAGACACATGTTAAAAAAATCCACAAATAGAAAAGTATTGGAAAAAACAATAAAATTATTAATTTTAAACTTATATTAAATTTAAAATACAATTTTCAATAAATTTTTACTATATTTATCATTTACCTCACGCCACATAAATTAGAATTATTGAAACCTTAATCTTTTAGGCATATAAGACATAAGTTTAAGAAATTATAACTTTATTCAATAGTCACATTAGACAAGTATTTTTAAACAATATAATTAAATTGCAAAAAAACTAAAATATTAAATAAATTTTTTAACCTTTCAGTTTAACAATAATTATTATTTAAAAAAATTAAAATTTTGTAAAAAATTCCACATATTTAATCTTAATTAAAATTAAAATTGTGATTAGGTTAGGTCACCTTAAAAGATTTATTCGAAAATAACATTTTTTTAATAGGAAAATGATTCTTTAATTTTATAGATCGAATATTCGCTTGTGAAATTAGGTTTAGGGTTCATCTGCAGCCATATATAAACCCCCTTTCTCTTACAATAGTCTTCCTCAAATCTCATCCTTTCTTACACAGCCACAGTAACTGAACTCAATACCAAACAGAGACTAAGATGGCAGAGCAAACTTTCATCATGATCAAGCCCGATGGCGTTCAAAGAGGCCTCGTATGTTTCCTTTTTTCACACCTTTTTTTGTTCATAGTCTTTGTTAAATCTGATCATTGATTATTACGATTTAAGCTTGATTTCATAATAAATCATCTTTATCTGGTAATTATTTCTGGAAATTTCCGATCTAATTTAGTTTTTTTTTGGGTTACTTGTGCTTTTTTAATTTCAATATGAATTAGTTTTTTTTTGTGTTGAAGTTATGTCTGAATTGATGAGCTTGCTTTGATGACTTTTTTGTTGGAATGTATCATTCTGAATTATTTTGAAATTATTAGCGTGGCTGTTATGAATTTGCGGGTCGATGCATGTTTCATTCTGATAATTTGGTAATTTATGACTGAAAAGTACTTGTTTTTCAGGTTGGTGAGATTATTAGCAGGTTTGAGAAGAAGGGTTTCTACCTGAAAGGTAACCTTTATCAAACTAAACCTTGTTTATTTGTTCCATGATCAAAGAAAAACAACTCTTGATTCAATTGTTTTATTTTTGTGTGGTTGTTTTAGAATTTGGAATTTCTGTTATTTCTAATGTATCAGTGTATTTTATTAGATTTCTGGTTTTGTAACTGTTTGAGATGATGAATGATTTTTGTTTGTGACTTGATTTTAGGTTTGAAATTTGTGAATGTGGAGCGTGCTTTTGCCGAGAAGCACTATGCAGATTTGTCTGCAAAGCCTTTCTTCAGCGGATTGGTGGATTACATTATCTCTGGCCCTGTTGTTGCCATGATCTGGGAGGGTAAGAACGTTGTGACAACCGGAAGGAAGATAATTGGTGCCACAAACCCTGCTCAATCTGAGCCTGGAACTATCCGTGGTGACTTTGCTATTGACATTGGCAGGTATATACATGTTCCTGTCATGTTCTTATATCTGTTTAGAATCTGATACAGGATTCATTGTACAAATTTATCTGTCATTGCTTGGTTAGAAAACTTAGCATCTAGATTACAGTGTGATTAATTACTGTTACTTTTGATGCAGGAATGTTATTCATGGAAGTGATGCTGTTGAAAGTGCTAACAAGGAAATTGCTCTGTGGTTTCCTGAGGGTGCTGCTAACTGGCAAAGCAGCCTTCACTCTTGGATCTATGAGTAAAGATGAAATACTGCCTTCACTCTTGGATCTATGAGCAAAGATGAATATGTGGTTGATTGTGAATCTGCCCTATTTTGATATGTTAGCGGAAATTTTATTTAGTCTGGTTTGTGTATTGGTTTGGTTGTCAAGACTTGTTATGTTGTTTCTGTTGAAACATTTTCACAGTTTGATTATTCAAATCGGAATCTATTTTTGCTTTTCCGTATTGTTAGTATTGCCTGTGTTTGAGTCATTGACATGGTTGCACTTGAATATACCGTTTTATGAATTATTGTTTATTGTTTAGTACACCGTTTTATGAGTGGGGTTGCATATTGCACTTAGTGGTGCTTCCTCATCTCAAGTGAAAATCAATAATGTCTCTAAACCTTGGATGCACCCTTAAGTCTTACACCATAACCACGTTGCTTTGTAAGTGAGTAAGAAAGTTTCTTAGATAAAAATAGAGACAAAAATCATACAAGTCAAACAAGAAATTCCCTAAACAATCAAAAATCTAAAAATTAGAAATTTCTTAGACAATTAAATTAATTGTAGAAACTAAAAGTGATTAAGAAATATATATCGTTCTACATCATGTTCTCATTCAATATGAATTGAATTTCTTCCATTTATTTGATTTGAAACAAACAATTGCTTACAATTTGATTTGAAACAAACAATTGCTTACGAAAATCAAGAACAGTTTTTTTTTTATTTGAATCACAATACTTCCATTAATTTGATTTGAAACACACACTTGCATACAAATTTTGTTATTAAAATCACAAATTAGAGTTTATGGATTTGAACATAAATTTAATAACGAAAAATAAGTATTTAATATGAGAAAATCACATACACACTAAGGGAATGGAATGGGAGAAGAGTGTTAAAACACAAGCATTGTGATGAACACACTTAATGCACATCAAAATTGTAATTGCAAGATAAAAGTAATAGCGCGCACACACTCTAATGTTTATACATGCGCACACACTCTAATGTTTATACATCTTTGAAGACATTTTGAAAGAGAAGAAAAGAAAATAGAAATGATTCTCATTGATTGTATTTTCACATTACAAATTGTTATTTATGTGTTACATAATAGCTTGCTAATTAAGTCATCCATATACAAAGTAATTAATTAACAACTAATTTGTAACATACTAGTAACTAATTAGTATACATGATAGTTATGAATTAAAACTCAACAAAGAGGAGTTAGGGTTTGATCAAGATTTGAGAGGAATGAAATAATATATCACGTTTAAAATGGAAAACAGTTACAGATAGAATTTGAAGATGAAGAGAAAACTCTTACTCTACTATTATGTTTTGCTCCACCTTTGTTATTACGGTGTTAACCTTTTGTTTTGTTTAAATTTACATTCTCGCATCATTGATATAAAATTGATTTAAATAGGATTAGTTTTTGTGACAACATTTAGTTATAATTTTTAATATCATAATTGATCTGACCAGATCAGGAGGGATCACGGACTGGCCACACCTTGCTGGACGGTTATCTGTTCGCCGAGGTAAGAACGAGGAGGGGGGTGTACCTGCAAAGCACTCCGATGCCAAAGTCAGAATTTGGGCAGAGTGAGAGCAAGAACAGAAAGTTGGGTAAGAAGTGGATTACCTGACCCTCTTGAAGAAGAGGGTATTTATAGAGAGACCCCAGCGCTGGGCCAACGGTCATTCGAGGTGGGCCAGACGACCAGGCCCAACCCCAATGACTGCTAGGGCTTACGTGGCGTAGTGAAGACCAGGACGTGGTCTTCGCCCTAGTTCAACCGCTCCTAGGTCTCCGGAAAGTGGGTTTGACCTGCTCTTTCGGAGGTGGGCGGTTGGCTGATGACGTGTCCCCGCGGAGGGGAGCACGTGGAGAACGCGCGCCGAGCACGTTATTCTCCCGCGGAAGGAGCCCGGGTAGTCTTGCTCGTCCGGTGTGACGGGCGACAAAGGGGATGCGGTGTGGTGGCTTGTGCCCGGCGGACGGTCCTGCTCGTCCGAAGGGGCGTGTGCCAGGTGCGCTCAGTTCGCCTGTTGGGCCGTATTTGGTATTGGGCCTGCCGAGGTGAGGCCCACGCCGGAACAGGAGCCCCCCAAGTCGAAGCTCTGGGGAAGAGCGAGGACTTAAGGTCGTCATGTCTGGAGCGGGGGACCCGTGCGAAGGGCTCCGGTCGTCGGTAGAACGGGGAGGAGGCAGATGAAGAGATGCGACTGTCGGGTTGCTTCCACGTGTCTTGCGTTAAGCGGTCGTAGGGGCGGCTAACCTATGTCATTAATGCCTAGGGTCGCTTCGAGTCTCGCGCCGGGTTATAAATATGGCGGTCCCCGCTCATTCTGTCACTTTTCTCCCTGTTGATCTTTCATCGTCTCTGCTCGTCCGCCGCTCACCGCCGATCAACGCCGTGCCATCCGCTTTTTCTTCCGTCCGCCGCCGTTACAAGTGAGTTCCTCTTTTCCCTCTCTTTTATTTTCGTCGTCTAACTGGGACGTGTGGTCGGGGCGCGATGAACGCCCCGAGGAGGGATGCGATTTCCGCCGCGTCTGGCGAGTTTTCCGATGAATGCCCCGGGGACGGTAGGCTAGTTCCGATGAATGCCCCGAGGACAGGAGCTTTTTCTGATGAATGCCCCGAGGACGGGGGCTTTTCTCCGATGAATGCCCCGAGGACGGGGGCTTTTTCTGATGACTGCTCCGGGGAGAAGTATCTTCTCCGATGGCCGTCCCGAAGGGGCTGAGGGGTCGTTCTTCGATCCCCGAGGAGGATAGACGGGGAGCGAATGTCTGTTCGTCGCCCCTCGGCCTTTGTCGCCCTTTCACTTGACTTGCGGTGGAAGGGTGGATTTGATCCTGGCTATCGAATTCACCGAGGTCCTCTGCTTTCAGGTGTAGATGTCGGCTATGGTGCCGGGGATAATGGTTGAAGATAATGAACCCGAGGTCCCGGAGTATGACGACGGGCGTATCTCCTCGCCCGAGGAGTGGGCGGCCGAGGAGCCACTTACCATCCCTTCCTGTTTTGTGGTCGACCCGTCTGACGTGTATGCCACGGTCGAGGACACGCCGCTAGGAGAGACGCAGCACTGGCAGGTGTATCGTCCGAAAGAGCACCATCGGATCTGTTCGCGCTATGGGCGGAAGATGTTCCCGATGTATGAATTTTATTTTAAAGAAGCTCGGCTCCGGTTACCGTTCTCTGCCTTCCATCTGGGGATTTTTGACTGGCTGCGTCTTGCCCCGTCTCAGCTGCACCCGAACGCTCTGGCTTTCATCCGGGCTTTCGAAGTGGTGTGTTTCTACCTCTCGGTGGAGCCGACGGTGCCGTTATTCTTTCGTATCTTTCATTTGCAGCGGCAGACGGTGCGAGGTCGTCACGGATGGGTCTCTTTCAAACAATCGACCAAAATTTTCAAAGCGTATAGTGATTCTGTCAAAGACTTCAAGGGTCGGTTCTACCTCGTCAAACCGATCACGCAGCACGGCTCGGACACTCTCTTTGACGAGGGCGAGCGCACGGTAGATGGCCAGTGGTTCCGAGCGTGGCTTCCCAAGATACATCTGCTCTGGACCTCGGAGCATTTCAGTCGAGGGACGGATAGGTATATCGTCCGGGCGGGAACCCTCGAGGAGAAGGACATGGCCGCTTATTTGAAAATAATTGCCTTTGTGCGGTCACTTCCCCCGTCGAAGCTGGTGACGCCCGACGGTCGGTACATCCTCGATGCCCAGGGGAACGTACGCACTAAAAAGCGTTTGATAAATACTAAGACTTTGCTCGGCTGTGCGACCGGGGCGGCCGCTCTAGATTATCTAGGTAGGGATGTTTCGTTTTCCCTCGTGGTCGGGGTTTTTGATCGTCGCTAACCTATTTCTTTGTTTTTGCAGCGAACATGTCTACTGTTGACGAGCGGGTGAAGCAGTTGCGTGCTGCCAGGAGTGCCGGGGTCCCGAGGACGAGGGTGAGTCAGCTGGTCAGTCAGGAGGTCGCGACGCAGGGGGGTCAAACTTCGTCCTCGTCGCCTCAAGAGAGCCAATCCCCTGTGTCCCAAGGGGTGTCGAAGAGGCAGAGGTCCGAGGAGCCTCGGGTGGTGGATCTGACGGTCGGCGCCGTCGAGGAAGGTTATGTCGTCCCTCCCTGCCACCAGCACCCGGGGTATTTTCATGGTGCCCGTTCCCCCACCGTTTCTGCCGGGGAGGTGAAGGCTGTTCGCCAGGCTGATCGGGAGGCCCGTCGACGTGTCCTGGCTGAGGACTTGGCCGCGATGATGCGGACGTTTACGACGGCTCTCGTGCTGAACGAGGAGGGCTGCTCTGCTGCTGAGCTGTCCAAACTGCAAGGGGATCTCACCTTCACGCAGTCGCGGTTGGCCAAGCTCACTGAGGAGTTGGAGAAGAGCCAGAAGGACGTTGCCGAGGAGCGGAAACGAGCAGAGGGTGCTGAGGGGAAGGTGAGTTCGCTGGAGGAGAAGCTGGGGATGGCGACGGCCGAGGTGCAGGCGCTGAAGGTTCGTACGGAGGTTCTGGACAGCGCTGTTCGTCCGGCCGAGGACGAGACTGAGGGGGATCGGCGTTTAATCACCCGTGCTGACTTGATCGCCCGTATCCGGGTGTTGGAGAGCGATTGTCTGGAAGCCGTTGAGGTCGGGTTCAAGAATGCGGTCGAGCAGATTCAGGTCGCCAACCCTGGTGTCGAGCTGGTCGTGGATGGGATAGGGCCGTACCACGAGATCGTTGATGGAAGGGTGATCGATCCTTATTTCGTTATCCCCGAAGAGGAAACCGTGGCTGCTGACCGAGCTGATGAGGAAGTGTAGGTTGCCGGGCCTGCGTGCTCGTTGTTTTGTGGCCTGCGTGCCGGTGTTTATCTTTTGCTTTGGGCCTGCGTGCTCGCTTTTGTACTATTGACTACTGGGCTGGTGCCCGCTTTTGTTAAATATATTTATCATGGATTTTCTAAGTGTGCGCTCGTTGTTTGCATGTTGTTTTATGCTCGTTTTTCG